AGCATCACAACATCGCCGTGAGGAGTGAGGGAATCATGCAGCAGGGGGCTGGGGCCACTGCCACTACCGAGAGAGCACACGCGAACCTTCTTGCCCTTGCCCTTGATCTGCAGCTTGAGGTGATCAATCTTGCCGGGCTGGAAGTTGATGTGGGTCACCGTCTTGCCCTCTCGCACGATGGGGTGCGTTTCGGCCGCGCCGATGATGCAGTTGTGATTCGAGTGCTGATAAACGTACATATCGTGTCCTTCGATCCCATCCACGTCTGCAGTTTCATCTTCAATCTCTCAATCCGGCTACAAAAATCGTTAAATCATTTTTAGCGGGAACGAAACGTACTCATAAAGAAGTACTGTATGTAGTATCGGGAGATCACATCAGGAATGCCCGAGAAGGGAATCTCGTCTCTTTCATCCTCTTCCAGCAGCTCCATTCTTCCGATTATTTTGATTTAAATCTTTTCCCTCTTTTCCACGCAGGCTTTCTCGACAATTTCTCAGACCGCATCCCTTCCTAAATAAACAATTATTCAGCTAAACCACTGCGGCCTTGATCGTATTGTATTTTGCAGTTTTAATTCATCACAAAAACAATCTTTGGAGAGGATGGAAGACTCAACGGCAACTCCTGCGCCTTCTGGCACCACGCCTCCCGATTCCCCGCGCACATTCAATGAGCGGTTTGCGCAGTACAAGCAGGGATTCGAGTCCACGCACCCGCATGCCGCCGAGGCCACGTCGTCCGCCTTCCAGGTCGCCCACGCACCCCTGGCGGATGGGGTGAGCGAGGTCAACATATTCGATTTCGACGGCACCCTCTTCCGTTCGCCCGAGCCCAACTTCACCAAGTGGTCGAGCGAGGCCGTCGGCAAGCTCAAGGGCCACCCCAGGGACCGCGGCCTCGGGTGGTTCCAGGAGGTGAGAGCCCTCCACACCGCAGTCGTTGCCTTGACCCCTCCCCTCCCCCCAACCCTCTTGACCCGTGCCCGTGCCTGCAGGTGATTACGCTGTCGGCGCCCTACGTGCCGGTGGCGCCGGGCGAGGAGTGGTGGAACCAGCAGCTCGTGAAGCGCGTGCGCGAGTCGATGGCTTCCGAGTCGGCGGTGACCGGTATTGACCACTGCACGCTGGTCCATTGAGGTCTTGTCTGACGTGTGTCGTGTGTGTCGTGCGTCGCGTGTGTGTGTTGTGGGTGTCGGCCAGTTCTGTTGACCGGCCGCACGGAGTCGTATCGGGAGAACATCCAGACCCTGATCAGCCACCTCAACCTGGCGTTCGATGTCGTCGGTACCGAACACCCGCTCGCCGAGTGTGTGTGCGGTTGTGCGTGTGCTGATAGCGCGTTCCACGCGGCTTTCCGCACGACCAGGCCTGAAGAGCCCGCCGGAGATGAAGACGATGGAGTTCAAGAAGGAGTTCATCGACGGTCTGGTGGCCAAGTACAAGCCGCGCAAGATCAACATGTGGGAGGACCGCCCCAACCACCTGGAGGAGTTCAGCCGCTTCCTGCTCGAAAAGAAGCAGCTCCAGGGCATCGACTTTGAGGTATCCATTCCACTTCGCTTCACTTTCACTCTGTCGCGATGATCGCTTCTCTTAGGCTTGTCAATTAACGCACGACCACACACACACACACACACACGCACGCACACACGCACGCACACACACGCACACACGCACACA